CCCTCACAAAAAAAAAAATCAAAAAAACAAAAGATGAACTGAACTGACTGACAGTGACATTCACTATAGTCCTTCCCAACTTTTTAAACTACAGGTCTCCCTCCAATTAAAGACCACTTTTGGGACCGGGGTTTTCATGGTCTTTAGCAGCCTTTGTCTCTAATTAGAATAATAGATATAAAAGACATTGTGAGTTTGGGACCACAGAAAATGTTTTTTTTTTTTAACTGGAGGAGTCGTCTTTAATTAGGAGACCTGTATTGACTGTAATAATTTGGCTTCCGTATACCTCATGTTTATCGGCTTTTCAGTAACAATTCAGTGTGTGTTAGAAAGTTTATCTAGGTTCATGTGGAGAAGATAACAATTTACTGTATTGCAACAATTTCTAAACGAAACTTTGTCTTGTGATTGTTGAGTGAAAATGTGATTATTTTTCAGTTGGATACCTTGTGAAAATTATTTTTATTTTGACAGGCATTTTGCCTTAAGCCTATTTTGTGTTGGATTTGGAAAAATCATATTTCCCATAGAGAATCCCTTCTCTATGTTTTCTCACAGGTATATTTCTACTGGCATGATCTTTTTGTACTTAGAATAGTTACTGTGCGTTTCTGTTGAAGCAGAAAGTATTGTCTGGAAATCCGCCGAATTATATACCTCCCTATTCACTCAACAACAAAAAAGTATTAATGCTTTCAGTAAAGGTTTTAAATGTCGATTTCATTTGAGGTAATAGATGTAAATGGAAAGCAATTTGGATTTGTTACAGTAAGCTTTCTTTCAGTGCCAACATTAACTTGCAGTCAAGCTCCTGGTTCGTTTTATGTTTCCAGATTAGCATGCGAATTGTATCTGAATAAGGAATACACGTTTTTTTTTAAATGGAACCCCATTTTATAATAACGCTGAGGCTGAAAATGCTTAAAAAATAAGAACAAATTAAAAAACAAAATTAAGAACAAATAGAGAGTAAGGTAAAATGTCAAATGAGGTTTTTATTTAAAAAGAAAACTAGAAAAACCAATAAAAAACAAGTAAAATTCTTTTGATCTTATCTGTACTTTATGTGCAGTATATTTGACTATGTAATATCCCAGGGCTGAAAATTAACCTCTAAGCCATAGTGGCCAGCAGGGCCAGTAAGGAAAAAATTATACTGGCCCTTCCAAGGTTATACTGGTCCTATTTTTTTTACGGTCCGAAATATAATTTTACGAAAAAAACAAAATCAATAAAACATTGATAAATAAATAAACATTGGTGTAACAATTGTTTTTACCAATTGAATCTGTCTTTTAATAGCCAAAATCATTAGTCCGAGAAAAAATCCATTGTATTACTATTCACGATCGACACAAGAGTTTTTATGGTCCAAAAATGTGATTTTAGACCACATAG